ATGGGGATGGGGATGGGGAGCAGGAGGCCTGCCTGCATGGGCATGGAGCAACAACCTCTGCCGCCTCGTGTTGCTCGGTGGGGACTGATTTAACACGCGTGGAGTTTCTGGCTGCTGCTCTCTGAGGGAAGCAATGTCCCTTTCCCGCTCTCCCCTCGCTAGGCTGGGTCTTGGCTCCGGCCTTGGCCCTCTTTCCTTTCCCAGCTGGTGTGAAATGCAGACAGGGAACGTGGAATAGGTGAAGGAGTGGGAAAAGCCTCACAGGGATGGCTCAGGTTTAACAGTAGTGAGAGGGAGCGAGGGCCAGCACCTGGGCTCCTGGGGCTGAGCCTCAAAGCTACCGGCAAACACACAGAAAGGGAGGAGGAGGAGGAGGGGAGCGAAGGGCTCGTGGGTCCCTTGTGCACCAGCTCCCAGACTGAGCACCCAAGGGTGCTCACCCCACCCGAGCAAAGGGCTCTACTGAGCCTCTCTGTGCCTGCCCTTGTCTTTCTGCAATGGGTTAAGGAGACCTAAAGGGCCCCTCCGTGCTTGGCCAAAGATGCTTTGGACAGCAGCGCCCTTGGCTGTGCCAGGCTGCTCCCCGGGGGTGCCGACCCCGAGGGTAAGGGGATGACGAGTGCCCGATGGCGGCACAGCCCCTTCCCGCCATGCCCCCAGGCCATCGCAGCCCCGTGTCCTCCCCCCGTACCCCCCGCGGGGCGCATCCCTTACCCAGGTACTGCCCTTTGCCTTCGCGGAAGGGGGGTCCCAGGGGTCCCTTCACCATGGGCTGCATGTACTTCACTTGGGCGTAGCCTGCCGCGCCGCCTCCTGCCGCCGAGCGCAGGCCGACCACCAGCACCACCAGGACCACCAGCGCCACGGCGTCCGGCAGCATCCTGCTCCCCACTGCTCCTGCAGACAAAGCGAGAGTGAGAGCGGGCACCCACGACCCCCCCTGCACCCTCTGGCCCGCAGGATCAGCCGGGAACTCAGGAAGGGGCCCAGAGGCAGCGGGACTCCCTTGAATTTCCCTTTTTCTGGACCGCAGTTGCCCTGAGCACGTTCCCCTTCCTGACAGGCGCCGGCTGGGAGATGCACGATAAATAGATGGTTTATGGGCAATAACTAACCACGGGCACCCAGCAGAGCCTTTCAGAGGCTGCCCCAGCACCTGTTGGTCTGGGGTTATGCCCATGTCAGGCTTCCCTTATATATTTTTAACATATAGAAGAAGAGGGGAAAAAAAGGCAGGATGAAAACCACAGTCCGCTGAGCCAAGCATCGCTGTCGCATAGCTCCAGCGAGCAGGGTCTCCTCCACCAGAAGCTACGTGTGCTCCGGCCGTGGGTCCTGCAGGTGGCCCGGGCTGG